ATGATGCAAGCTGTTAATTTGACTGATGCCAGAAACCGTGCATCAAAAACCCTAGAGGCTTTCATGTGCTCGATGAACGCAAAGCACAAGGAAAGCGAAGATAAGCTGATGAAGGAGAATGGGATTTTGAAGCGCGCGGTAATTATTCAGCACCAGCGTCATCATAAGGAAGAGGATGAGTTGAACAAGACGAAGAAATTGGTATTAGGAATGGGATATGAAGAACAATTAAAAGCTTTGGAAGGTAAAAATAATGGCGTTGACTCTTCATCTGAAAGAAGCTGTTCAACAGGAAAACAGTAGCACCCCACGACGTTTTCCTCCTGATGTTTTTTGATATTTTTAGGGTTTAAAAATATGTAATTTAATTTCATGTCAAATGTCACTTTTGGAAATACAATATGACATCTCTCCAGTGATACTTTATATAATAATAACATTTGTGTAGTCACAAAAAATTATGATTCCAACTTGAACTAGTTATAAATAAGAATAAATTTCGTATTGTAATAAATTGTAATTTTTCTAGGTCCCGTCTTAAGGAACTTGCCTTTATATAGAAATAATTATATGTATATTGTAAAAAATATATGTTATATTATATTAAAGGTTTAAGATGAAATAAAGTATTTATCTAAAGTTATTTGAGACAATGATTTATGTTTTAGAGTTGTTACCATACATTTTATTTTGCGGATACGTAAGCCACCAGCATGAACACCTTCTTGTAATATTTCTAGCTCTCAAACATGTTTAGAGCTTCTTGACATGAAATTTTTGATATTTCCGTACTGTCATCTTCAAGATTATCTCCTTCATCTTCTTGTCTAATTCCAATAATGATTTTTTTTTTTCAGTTAAAACATACACAACTTGTTGCTCATTTGGATTATTGAGGAAGACATTAATATCCATTTGATTAGTGTAGTGAAGTTGTATCACTCAATTTTACAGTGATTTTTTAATATCTTCTTAATGCTACTACAACAATGAATTGAAATACTAATACTACTAAAACATGAATTATAAAATAAGAAATTAAAACAATAATTCTTGTAACTATACCTCTATTAAATTATAACCTCCTTACAGTAATAAATTTAATTAGTCTTAACATTATGACTATAGAGAAGTTATACTATATTAGTATAAGTTAGATTTCATTTATTTATTTTTTTTTTATGAGTTTGATATTAATTGTTATAAGTTAGTTTTCAATATTAGTTTATGAGCTTGATATTAAGTGTTTAGGGTTATTAATAAATATGATATTATTTAATTATTTAATGGGTTCTGAAAGTTTATTAATCTTTGATTGTTTCTGCAGTGAAAAACCCTTCTTTGGATTCTAATTCTATCGTCCTACGAACTTATCATAATAATATGATCCGGTCTTGAATGAAATTTTACACAAATTTAGTATTAATAACCATAATAGCCCACTAGGGGTGGGAAATTAACCCGCTCGGCCCGACTTGTCCCATGATGGGTTAGGCCAAAATGCGGGCCAGGCCGAGTTAGGCCTGCTTCATGGGCCAAAAATGTTAGCATAGCCCAGCCCACTAACCCTAACTCGAGGGGTTTTTGTGTGCCCGACCTGAAATCTTTTTTATTTTTTTATCTATTTTCTTTTGTATAATTTTTTTTAGCTAACTTTTCAAATATCAATTCAATTAAAGTAATTTTTTTTAGTTAACATTTCAAATATTAATTCAATTTTAATACAATTAAATTGTAATATAAAAAAACTTAGATTTATTCATTTATCAAAAAATAAAATCACCTTGTGAACTGTCCACTCTATGAGTTGAGTTATCCTACAAGTTAAGCTAAACTGAGTTACCGATCCATTAGCATATAACAGTCCATAAATAGGAAATCAAAATCCCATTCTATTTCCTCTTCTGCTAAGATCCTGAATCTTACTAAAATTAGTAAACTTAATCTGATAAATGCAAGAAATCTTATTTCTTTCCTAATAGTGATTATCTCTCAAAGTAAGACTTCGTGTCCTACTAGAATTCTAACCCCTTATGTTCACTATAAAAATAGAGGTTTACCCTCTCATTATTTATTCAATGTCCATTGCTCAAAATCAACTATTTTGCTAAGAAGTTCTTGCTCCCGAGAATTCTACACCTTTGCCCTAGTCTTGACCTATGACAAAACTCTTGGTAATCTTTCTTTCCCTAATTCTCATACAACCGTCTCTTTCAACCTTGCGGACTTGAGCATCGGAGTACCTACAGCAAACACCACCTCAGTGTTTTTTGTAAGTTTCACGCTTGTCTTTTCATGTATGCAGGTTAGCGGATTGTCAATGACCCTAACCCTAGGGGATCAGACCCTATTTCCATAACCATAGATTTTTTGCGTCTACACAAATTACAAAGTTACAATTTACAAAACAACTAATTTGAGGGTTGACTAGGACCTCCCTCATCTGTATCATCTAAATTGCAAAATTGAAATGATTATATTAAAGTATCGTCGACAACTTCGTATTGATCTTGATGACGCGACTGTTCCCAATCTTGAAAATATGTGAGGACTTCAATCAATTTTGGTGAAAGTTTAGTCCTCCTTTCATTTAAAAATGTCCACTTGCACTAAATGTTTGTTCGGATGAAACGGTTGAGACAGGAACAGAAAAAACATCCAGGGCAAGTCTTGATAATATCGGAAAAATATATTTTTTGGTTTTTCAGTATTCTAAGACATCAAAGTTGACTCTTTATTGTGGATCTGCTGGTAGCAAGTTAGGGGTTCCCAAATATTGGTAAAGCTCATTACTCTGTAGCTGCATAGAGAATATTATATTCGTTGTTGATGCTTCTGAAGAGGAGGCTGTGCTTCGGGTTCGGGTCTTCTTCTGCCTATTAAATGCATTCCAAGAGTCAAAGTCTTCATTTGTGTCTTCTCCTGCTGCTTCCTCGGGTATTGTGCTTCTTTGCTAGTTTCCATACCTGCTTTCATATTGTAAATACACCTCTTCAAGACACTGTCATATCTCTCATAGTTGATTGAAATATACATTTCTTCTTGTAAATTTTCACTTAACTTGTTTAAACCATTTCCTAAGCCCGCTAATTTAATTCTAAGATCAAATATGACAGCTAAACAAAAAAAAAGAGAAAGAACAAGTTTTTAATATTTTTTTAAATTTTAATTCTATTGCTTCTATTGGCCTCGCTAAAATTTTATGGTTTTTGTTTTGAGCAAATAAATATGAAATTGTTATAATTATATGTATTATCAATTAACCAAAAAGTTTTAAGGTAACAAGATAAAAGGTTTTGAGAAACTAATGAAATTTTTGAAATATATACCAATCAACTCTTTACCGGACATTAAGTGGACTGTTAATGTCTGACACGACCATTAACCACTCTAACTCATCAAATATGTGAAAAGGGGAAATTCACATGGCAAATTAGCATATAAATTTGTTCTAATACACTTGTCTCAAGTACAGTCTTGTCAATTATCAAAAACCAACTTATTAAATGATGTGCTACTCAAATCAATTACGTTAATGTGATCTCGTATACAATGCTTAACTAATAAGAGGACCGAAAGAATACATACATGTAGGAAATTACATCTGACGGTTCTTAAATGTAAAATTTAACCGAATACAGAAACTAAGAGTGAAAAAATGAAGTTTAATGGATAATTGATATATTTATAAATAGTGGTGCGCTGATGTACGAAAGAAATATACAAACTGATGTGACACTGCTCTTTAATTAATATATCATTTATCTAATTTAATTAACATTTAATAATTTAACTTTATGTGGATTTATTGTTAGTTTGTATGAAACAATTTGTATATTTAATATTATTTATTTATGAATAATTGTACAAAATATTTTAGAAGTCACAACCCACAATTTTTTAAAAATCTAATTAGAAAATTATCAACTTAATCCCTATAAAATTCAGTTTTGATTATGGCCCCATGAATGTAACTTTCTATTTTTCGTAGCTCCCTCATTCATTGCATATTATGTTTTGGCCTCAGAAGTCAGAATAGTTTTTTCTGGTTCCACCCCACCCCTCCCTGGCCCTTCGATAGGTGTACCACTTGTTATTAATTGAACACTTATTATTATTAATCAATCAAAATAGTAATAATTGCCCCATGTATGTAACTTTCTATTTTAATTCATGTGGCAAATTAAAATTAAAATTTGTTCTAATACATTTGTTACGAATTCAATCTTGTCAATTATTATATATTTGATTTTGTGTTACTCATCCTTACAAACTCAATTTGGCACCCTTCAGTTTTTAAACTCTAACTTTGACCCCCATAAATGTGATATCCAAACCCCCAATATAAATATCCTGGCTCCAACGCTAACCATGGAACACTGAAACATATCTGATGTATCATTAATCAACATTATTTTTGGTGGCTCTAGAATAAAATTTCTGGCTTCGGTCCACCCAGGGCCCTTGATAGGTCAACCGCAGTACCACTTCCTGTAACATACCTGACCTATCATCAATCAAACACAACTTGATTATGCACCACAAGTTCAATTATTTTGTCACTTATTGAAAAACCAACCTATTTCCATTTGAAGGACTATTCCATTTCTGTGCGAGTTGATAGTTAACACCATTCCTTAACGAAAGGCTAGACCTCCCTTCAACACCGCTCATTTTTTGTAAGGCCTAGCAATCAAGACGGTGCCTTCAAACCAATCTCTCCAATCATCTTACACTCTTCACGTGACCCCTTTTGTTTTTTACCCTTCTTGAAAATGCCAAGTGCTTTCCGTCTTTTTGTCAAATCACTCTTCTCCCAACAAGAACCCGCCACCCCATTACACCAACCAGTTTTACAATACGTGTCAAGATATAATTGGTCATCCACAATAACACCTGTAGGACTGTTTACAGAGGATCCAGTTCGAGCTTTCGCGCTTTTGAGGGATCTCATCTTCATCTTTGTTTCAACTTACAACTGTCCTGTGCCTTCTTTAAATATCTTTATTAGATTTTGTTTTCAAACTTTCTACTTTCAACTTCAAGTCATAAGAACGAACGATCCCTTTCGTCTTGTTTCAAACTTCCTCTTTCTCTTTCTTTCTTTTAACTGTAACTTTCTGCAGGTTCTTCCATGGAGTCTCTGCAAGTCAGTCGTTTTATTTCATGCAGATCATCGTCGTTTTCGAGCACGACGAAACTTGCTCCGAGTTTTAGGCCTGTAACGCAAGTCGGGTTTGGTTCTTTGTGGAGGAAACCGAATAAAAATGGTTGCTTGGTGATCAGGAGCTTGACGTTTGTAAGTGATGGCGGTAGTGGCGGAGCAACGGGTGGCTCCGGCAGTTCGCAAGACGGTTCTTTTGCGGTTGAAGATGATCAAAAGAAGACCAACAAACACATCAACAATAAAATCAACAAGAATAACATCAAAAACGGCAACGTCAACCAAAAAAATGGTCGCGTTTTGGGTGCTGAGAGAGACGACTCTGGTTCTGTTATTGGATTTCAATTGCTTCCTCATTTGGGTATGTTTTTATCACTTCGTTTTGAGTTTGGCATGTATTTCTTATTACAGGAATTTCTGAAAACAAAGAAAACTGTTTTCGAATTCTGGAAAACAAGGGAATTCATTTTTTTCCGTTTTTGGGATTTTAGATCGTATCTAGAAATGGTTTTGGAAATATTTTATTGAACACGTTTATTAAAAGATGTTTTCTGTACTTCATTGTGAAAACAAAAATTGCATCTAAATTTTACATCAAATGGACCAAAAAAAATAAAATAAAATAAAATAAAGAAAGCAAAAAGAGTGTAGGCCTAGAAGCAGAGCAATGTTTTTAATTGTCTCTGCTTTTATTCTGGTTTTAGTTTTGGTTTTACTAATTATTTTGTTATTATATTTGTGGTTGCTTTTACACTTATTTTATTTCTTTATTTCTTTATTTTATTTTTATACAATATTATCTGGTACCTTTACTTTTTTCATAATATTCCTTTCATTTGACTTAATATATTTAGGAAAATAAATTTTGCCTTATTGAAAGTTTGAACTCATAGACCAGAATCTTAAATTTTGGTAATGGGATCAACGTCACCTGTGAAACTCATGATCCAATTTCATTGCCGGGGGCAAATCATGTGGTCACATGCTTTGACTCGGAGAATGGCATATACTATATAATAATATAGTCCCACAAGATAATTGTAGTGATCCCATAAAAAAATTGTTGAATTTATATCGATTTATAGGAATTATTATTATTATTATTATTATTTTTTTTTTTTTTTTAAAGATTGGTTTTCGATTTATGGTGCTTGATCATTACAAATGGAGATTGAATTGTGTTGCAAATGATCCATCCGATTGAATTATTATATCTCTTCACCTGTTAATTCATATTTTTGGGTATCTTGGTGAACTTGTTTATGAAGTAATGTATAATTCATCTTTCTGCAATGAGATGCCCAAATTTTCTGGTCAGTTGATTCTTCTGAAAAGATGATTTACTGAAACAGGCTGGACAGTCCTTGAATGAAGTGTCTTCCTTCTGTTTATTGTAATTGTTTCTAGTGATGCATTTCATGGTTTTTTTAATCATAAATCGATGAACTTTGTAGCGAGTTTTTCAAATCAATTGGTGATATATTACTAATTGTTGTGGATACTGAAGAATTTTGTGAGACCTGATTATGAATCATAAACTTGAACTACAGGGGACAATGAAGTCAGTGAGTCTCAAGGAGATGTAGCTACTCAAGAAGATGTATCTAGTTATGAAGTAGAGAAAACTGAGGACACTGAAGGAGAATCAAAAGCTCAAACTCGGGTAACCCACAGTATTGTCTTTGTCACTTCTGAGGCAGCACCTTATTCTAAAACTGGTGGATTAGGAGATGTTTGTGGTTCTTTGCCTATAGCATTAGCTGCACATGGACATCGTGTAATGGTTGTCTCTCCTAGATATCAGAATGGCACTACTGCAGACCAGAAGTTTGCTAATGCTACAGATTTAGGTCGTCGTATCAAGGTATATTGCTTTGGTGGAGAACAAGAGGTTTCTTTTTTCCACGAGTACAGAGAAGGTGTTGACTGGGTAAGAATTTCTCCTGTCTCTCATTTTATGTTGAGCCTTCATGATTTCTTTTTAATATTTTTCCGGATTGGATTTTTTTTTTTCCTTTTTCTGTTTTTTATAAATGAATGAACTCTTTTCTTCGATTTTAGGTGTTTGTGGACCACCCTGCATATCACAGACCTGGAAATCCATACGGTGATAGTAATGGTGCTTTTGGAGATAACCAGGTCTGGTTTGGAATTGAATTGGGGTTTTAAGATTGTTGACGTAACCGGAATTTCTGTCTTCCAATAATGACAAGGTGTTTTCTCATCTGCTTTTACAGTTTAGGTTCACTTTGCTTAGCTATGCAGCATGCGAAGCTCCATTAGTGCTTCCATTAGGAGGGTTTACTTATGGAGAGAAATGCCTTTTCCTTGTCAATGACTGGCATGCTAGCCTTGTTCCAGTGTAAGTAGTTTTTCTTCTAGCCAATATATTTGATATATGTAGTGAACCATTAGTTGATTACTAATTGATTTATTTAGACTTAGTTCTCCTTTATTGGATCCCTTCCCCACTCCTCTTCTAGTGAGAACAGAAAAACATTCTTTTGGTAAATGAACTTTGTTTTCCTTTGCCTTGTAATCGTGAAAATACCTAAAAGGTTTTATAATCAACTCTTATATATTTTTTGGTTCATAATTCAAAAAACACATCTTGTCATACATCCCTTGCATTTTTTTTTTTGGGGGTTCAATTGCAAATTTTTTCAAATATGTTTCAAGTTGTTAGGGTTTTGATTTTCTGTGCTTTTGTTTTCAGGCTTTTGGCATCCAAGTATCGTCCATATGGAGTTTATAAAGAAGCTCGGAGTATTCTTGTAATACATAACCTTTCACATCAGGTTCTTATCACTTTTTCCACATTCTTTTTAATCTACTATAATTTCACTCTTACACTTTTGGCTCACAAATGTAAGAAATAATTTCTAATGAAATTTAGAAATACACGTCTATGTTACCGGTCTGACTAATTACCTATTTGCATATGCAAGGGTGTCGAACCTGCTGCAACTTTTAAGCATTTGGGATTGCCTTCGCAATGGTATGGGGCACTTGGATGGGTATTTCCCACATGGGCCAGGACACATGCTCTAGACACAGGTGAAGCTGTCAATCTTCTGAAGGGTGCAGTTGTGACATCTGATAGAATACTAACGGTTAGCAAGGTAATTAGCTATGCATACCTTGTTCCTACTTTTGGGTTGTTTAATTTCATAAAATATCTGGGTGCTTTTTTTTTTTCCTGGTATTTTTCAATTGATTAACGACTTCTGAGGTTTAGCTCTTATGTCAATGTTTGATTTGATTTGCTTACTTTTGAGTAAATCTGAATATGAATGAACACAATCTGGGCAAATCAGCCAATTTATATTATGGTTAATATTGTTTGCACCATTCAAGTCAGAAGTGTTATATACTCCATAATATCACACTATGTTTAATGTCAATGTTACTTTTGTTAATTGCAGGGTTATTCATGGGAAATAACAACTCCTGAAGGTGGATATGGCTTACATGAGCTATTAACCAGTCGAAAGAGTGTTCTAGATGGTAAGTGTTTTGAGCTTAAAACTGGGAAACTCCCTCTAATGGCTATTGTCTAGTGTGGAAAAATTAATGTCTCAGGGGTAGACATTACAAAAACTGCCATATACTAGTACCTCCTAGGATTCCGTTTTGATGGAACCAACTTCGTATAATGACCTCTATTTAGGAGCTCACCCCCGTGAATAACATTGTTGCAAACAAGAATAGAACACAAGTCATAACTGACAAAATCTCATGTTGTTCATCATATGCAGGATGTTTCTTTATTGTATGGTCATACCATATGGGCTATATGTATGATATTTGTGCTTGGATTTCTTTTTTTCAACTAATTTATGTTATGATGATTAGGTATCACAAATGGCATTGATGTCGCTGAGTGGAACCCATCTACAGATGAGCACATTGCTGTCCCTTATTCTGCTGATGTTCTCTCTGGAAAGGTGGCTTGGTTAAATCTCATTTCTAGATTTAGTTGTTCTGCGGCAGCATTCTGTAACTGTGTTTTTCTATCAAGTGTAGGTCGAATGCAAGATGGCTTTGCAGAAGGAATTAGGTCTTCCTGTTAGGCCTGATTGTCCTCTGGTAAGATGCAATTTTCTCTTTCTTCCTAGACATGGTAGCAAATATCTCCATGTCTAATTGTTCTTTTAGTGCAACTCGTTAGATTGGATTCGTTGGGAGACTGGACTACCAAAAAGGCATTGACCTGATTCAGGCAGCAACCCCAGAGATTATGGAAGAAGATGTTCAATTTGTAAGTCAGCTTTTCATAAAATCATTAACTTGTTGTATTCAATGACTCTAATTGAAATTATGAGTTTTGATTTTGTCATTCATGACTTGAAAGAGTTACACTAATCAATCCTCAATAGAGAGGGCTTGTGATGTGTATGCATGCGGAAGATGCTTTCTGTGTCACCCCTTTATCAGGATGTACATTGTTGTTTCAGGTTATGCTTGGGTCTGGGGATCCTCAGTATGAGAGCTGGATGAGAGTCGCTGAGGTAACTTACAGAGATAAGTTCCGTGGTTGGGTTGGATTTAATGTTCCAATTTCTCATAGGATCACTGCAGGGTAATGTTTCCATTTTTCTATGAAACTTTTCTTTATGGTTTACGAGTCTTTAAGGAATTGTCGGTTACTCACTTAAGTTCTTGAATGAACAGCTGTGACATACTGTTGATGCCATCAAGATTTGAGCCCTGTGGACTAAATCAATTGTATGCAATGAGATATGGAACTATACCAGTAGTTCATGCCACTGGAGGACTTAGAGTGAGTTCAAACATCCACGAAATAAAGATTCGTTTTTTCAACAGTTTATCTGGTGTATTTAATGCAATTCTCTGTGTGATAGGATACGGTAGAAAACTTTAATCCATATGCTGAAGGAGGCAGTGGTACAGGCACTGGGTATGTAGTTATCCTTAAGCTCTTGGCTTCACTTTTTTCTGTTTACATTTTTCCAAAAAAAAATTGAAGTTAAATATCATAATTCTGATGCTCAGCCTGCAGTCTAGAAACAGAGTGATTTGTTGAGAGAAATTTTATTGTCCATGAAGAAAACCTTCATTGACTTTATCTGTTCCTGTCAATAATTTGAAATGTATCTGATACAAAGCATGCATAGATCTTAAAGGGTGTTAAAAATAGAAAACAAGGCGTGTTCATTTAGTTTGATAGATCAAAACCAAACGGACAAAGGCTTAACATTTTTTACAGGCAAGAAATTTTATTTGCAATTAGATATTAGATTACCAAAATGGACTCCTAGAAAATTCTTGCAATTACAAAAAAATATGTTTAGTTTTTTGTGACATTCATGGTGATTCTATCTCCTGCATTATATTTTTTTATTCATTAAAACTATACTTTCTATAAGTATCAAATTCTCAACTTTGACTGTTAGGACACTTCTCTCTCTCTCTCTCTCTCTCCATTTTTTTTTTCAATTTGGTTGGGTTGGGGTGGACTGTTTATTGTATTTTTTATGTGCGAGGTGGTGTGAGCAATGTTTCATATCCTATAAAATATAATTTCTATAAAATAATGTTGTTGTTAAATGCATTGACAGGTGGACTTTTTCGCCGCTAATCAAAGATAGCATGTTGGCCGTAAGTCATTTCATTACACTTGAACTACCTCTTGCTGTACATTTTTATGTTATCTTTTCCCTTTAGTAAATTGAAATCCAGTATAGCTGTATTACGTCTACAATCAGTGAGGAATATAGCGATTATTATAATAGTTTAGCGTTAAGCCTTTGACAAATTGATTTGGTAGTTGAGCTACAATATGCAAAACATGAAACCTATAGCAGTAAACTTATGATTATTTTTGGAATATTTTGGGGTTTTATCGCTCTGTATCTAACCATCAATGAGTCATTGATAGGCGCTAAGAAATGCAACAAAAACTTATAGAGAATACAAGACATCATGGGAAGGGTTAATGAAGAGATGTATGGAGAAAGATTATACATGGGAAAATGCTGCGACACAATACGAGCAGGTTTTCGAATGGGCCTTCATCGACCGTCCTTATGTTAGCTAAAAGATAAATGAGGCAAAAGCAGTAAAAAGAGAACAACACAATCCCAAACTTCTCGTGATTTAGGTTCTATACATGATGCTGCTGGTCTGGCTCATATCTCCAGCTTAAGAATCACTTTCAGGAAACAGTTATTCTTGTAAACATGCCCGGTGGGTATGCTTTCGACGAGTATGGTGTATTTATTTTTATTTTTTTGACGAGTCAGTGTATTTCTTGACAAGTGCACATCATTGACTGGTGGATCGATTTTTGATCTATAGATTTAGGGGAAAAAATTCCTGTTGTATTAATTATGTATTTCTTTTTAAACAAGCAAAACAATGAGATATTGCTGCTATGACAAATGGTATGCTATATAGTTTACATATAAATTTCCATGTACATGTTCTATTTGGCAAGATTCCTGCACATGGAATTTGGCTCCTTGTGCGTCAAATGTCATCTTATTTAATGAAATCAGACTAAAATTATGGGATTTTTTGTTAATATTTGGAGAGTTTTGGTTGGTGTATAATTGGAAATTTGTGTGATTGCTATTGTGAGACTTAGCTCTTTGAATTCTTAATTGGAGAAAAAACCATAGGCTTCTTGAGCATTATATGGGGGAGGCTTTTATGTTTATATGTATTAGCTAATTCATTAAAATGTGTTATGTCCACAAGCATAATATACTTCAAGTTGACAGCATGCGTGATATATACATACAACCGTCACACAACGATTATGTGAGTGGTCAAGAAATTGTATTTTTTATTTTGTCAAAGGAAATGGGGTGGTTTGGAAGTGGTAAGAAGAATGAATACTTAGCTTGATATGAGGGGTTAGTGTTTCATATTTGGTTTGCAATCTTGAGGGGGAGGAAATGCATATCTCAAACGATTACTATTATTATTATTTTTAACACAAGTTCACTTATAAAGAGTTACTTAAGATATTCATGAATGGGGTAAAAATAAAAATAAAAATAAATCAACATAATTATAAGAGAGAGTTATGACTTTTTTTAATTCCTTGTAACTCACCTCGGCACTATCCTATCCTTGACTCATTGTTTTAGTTGTTTAGGAGCATACTCAGTGGAACCAACTCAACCCTTTTTTTATTTAAGGAGCCCACAAAATAGACAACAATATGGACAGCTCTAGTAACCGCATATCACGGGTCGATGATTTATCACTAAGTGCACACTAATTATTAGTAGAGACACAATCTTATTTCTTTAAATATTCTGTCTTATGCTCTATGGTACGAGGGGAGTCAATTCCCTAACCTTTACTCCGATAGGATAATGGCGCCACCTGGTCAACAATCCCCCCTCCACACCTATCTATAAGCAACATTCTCTTGGATTTATATATAAAATATTATATTAGTTCAATAAAATGAATTTAATTATGTTTAAGCATGATTTTCTACATATCTAGTAACATATATAAATATATTATTCTATGTCTAATTGACTGATATCATGTACATAGAAGAAAGCACCTAAAACGACTACAATTATTGGGGAGTTGGGTTTTAGTGTTGGACCATGAGGGATGGAATTATTGAAGGCATCATCCATGGAAGTTGGACTAAATATGTTTTAAACGTCTTACTTCCTTAGAACTTCCATTTATTTATACCACATTATTTGTGAGTCAATTCAGTTTGTTTATATTATATATCTATTTTCTTTTCTATAATCCTAACAACCAATATGATTTAATAATTTGTATAAGTAAAATAAAAATCTAGTCAATAATGCATCAAGCAAAAATAAGAATAATTTATTGGGATTCTATTTCATTATCAAGAAAATTACAAGAATATCCCTCCGAACAAATTGATGATAAAAATTCCTATCGAATCATCCATAAACATACAAAAAACCTTTGCATCATTACTAATACATTATATTTGTACTACATCTAGGGTTTTTCACACTTTCATCCTTAATATTTAGAGTATATTTACTTTTATATTATGAGACACAGACAATTTAACCTACTTAAGTAAAACTTTTTGGTAAAAAGTCTATAATATATTTATTGTCTTATGCATATGTTATTAAAAATGAATAATACACATATATATATATATATATATATATATATAGTCAAAATTATACAATACTATCTCCAAAAAATGTAAATATTCTATAAGAGTAATAGTCCATATCTAAATATAATATGGACCACTTTTAGCATATTATAAAACCTGCTTAATTTCATAAGCATGAACACTTATAACCAAGGGCTGATGCTACTCTATGGCCCACCCTCAAATTTTTTGAAAAAAATATTAATATATACAATTTTTGGATTTTGGCCTACCATAACTGAAATATTAATGTACAAAAATATTAATGTGTAATTAGTTCTTATTTTGGCTCACCCTAACAGAATTTTCTGAATCCACCATTGCTTATAACAATTATAAATAACAAAGAGCAAACGACATAATCCTACATGAAGTTTGGAGAAATCCTAAGTTGATACCCCTGGTTCAATTTATCCCGTTTTGCCACCCTTAATATAACATTGTTAATAACTGATGGGTCTAACACAGTGACAACGAGTGGCACTGACTTAGATACGCTTGAACCTTTGACTTTAGATTATTTAACAAATAAAAAACTAAATAGAAGTGCAAAAACCCAAAAATGCCCGTATCTTTAGTTTATTTTCCAAATATAGTGAAATTACCCTAACACCCCTAAACCATTTGAAAGTTCAGCAACAATTGTTTGAATATTGAGGGTTTAGCTGTATAATGGCAAAATAAAATTTATTAAAAATTGGCATACATCCTGAAAAGTTTCAAGTTTGAACACAAACACATCCTACACAAAACTAATATTAGAGATCATACTACAAGCATACATACTGAGTTAAACACTTTTGCATTGAACATATATATGAAAAATACATAATTTAGCCTTGAAATGTGATGATCAACATCCCAAAAACAAAAAATAAAAGCTGCATATTACATAAAAAAAAAAACCCACTGCAACAGTCCTAAATCGGTGACAACATTCACAATAGACAACCTAAATCAGTTGCTATCTGTACAATAGTATCACACCATATTTGCACACCAAGACTAACAAACAAAGTCCTATGTATAGCTTCCCCAAATTTCACCAAAATACTACAGTAGCAACTTTCACCAAAATACAACAGCATGCTTCAACTCCACATATAAAAAAAAAAACAACATCATGCTTCTACAGTTTTATTACACAAAAAAACAACAGCATGCTTCAACTACACACTCCTTAAGTACCTGAAAAAAAATCATAAAATCAATTTAAGGGGCTGCCCTCGACAGTTTGAAGAAATGTAACAATGTTAAAATTTGAAGGACTGATGTTACACTAACCTGCTACCCTTGACAATTGCTTCAGTGTTGACATGTCTGACTTGTTGGGGCTGATGAAGCTTCTCCTCTCTAAACAAAGCAAAGAAAACAAATGTTAATGCAAGCAAATTCGGTTACAAAAATGATACTAATCTTGTTAAATAAAAGTTTTAAAATACCCTTTGATTCTTGTTGTTTGAATGATTTTGTGGGCAACTCCTCTTGGTATGTCCCAAAGTTCGATAGATCCCACACCTAAGTGTTGCACCCTTGGTCATCCTTGATTCTTCATCAGCATCCTTTTTTTTAGCCTTTTTGGGTCTCCTAACCTCTGCCTACCCCCAAGCAATTTAGGCCAACTAAGTGGGTCAGGTATGGGGTGAATGTGATCAGCTTATGTGTTTATGTATAAAGTGATCCTCAATGAAGAGTCCACAAAATCCTCCATATTTCTAATGTTCCTAAAAAGCAAACAACGGACTGCATTCACACAAGGGACTCTAGAAAGTTGCCACATTCCAAATTCACAAGTTTGAGATTAAAGTTTTAAGATGTAACATTTACTAAGAAGGCGGTTGTTATCCACCACTTCAAACTCATCACTCCCAGGCCAGATAGCTTCAACATTCCTAGCAGGCTCAATTAGACCATTGATTTTCTTATGTACAGTAGGGAGAATAGTTGTGACCTAATCATTCTTAACCTTTGCCCTAGCTTGCATCTGTACCATAACCATCCTCCTATAATGCTTTGACAAGCTTAGTATGGGTAATTTTCTATTCTCTCCTAACCAGCTATTGAAGACTTCACACATGTTATTTGTAACATGATCAGATTTGGAATCAAGGTTGAATGCATGCCTTGACTAGGAACTCACATCATTTTCAATCATCCACCTATGAGCTTCTCTATCTACAGCTTTTACCTTTTCCATGGCCTGTTGAAAATCAATGACATTGACAACCCTACTAACAGCCCAAAACAAGTTCCTCAACCTCAAGGAATTTTTTCCTAAAGTTAGCGTAAACATGCCTAGCACAATGTCTAACACTAGCATTTGGCCAACATGTCTGTATAGCATTCACCAAACCCTTTTGCATATAACTCATGATAGTGATAAGGTCAATGTCCCCTATAAACTCCTTCAACAAGGTCATAAAGTATCTCCATGATTCCTTGTTTTCTATCTTGATTCCTTGTTTACTATCTCACAAATGGTAATTGCTATAGGGAAAATGCCACTGTTAGCCTCCATAGAAACTACTGACAATAGTACTCCACCATAAGGCCCTTTAAGATGGCACCCATCCACACCTATAAAATGCCCACAACCCTTTATAAGCCCATTCTTTTGTGCTGCAAAGCCTAAGAAACACCTCTGAAAGTTTGGAATCTCTTTTGGACTAACAGATTTCACATTATACATGGAACCTGGGTTGGTGTGTTTGATAATGTGATCATATTTCAACAAACCAGCAAATGACTCTGCATGGAGCTTGTCTGACCTCCTATTTGCCAGCTTATTGGCCCTATACAGTTTGCATCTAGATAACTACAGATAGTGTTTCCTACCCAACGTGTCTACTCATGGCTTAATTGATGAACCCTTTTGGGATCTGATGAAGTCTCCCATTTTTGCAACCACCAAAGCACTTGTTGCCTCCTATTATTATAAACCCTCATGCATGTATGTGTGTGCCTATACTTCCTAATCTGAAAAGACACATCATCAGGCGTCAAAGCAGCATATAGATGAAATGGATAGTTTGCTTGCTTACATTTGGCCTTAAATCTTCTTCTCTCATTGTGAATCTTCCTACCCCCTTTGAATTACACAATCTCGAAACACCTTCCTAAAGTGATCAACTTCCTCAAACACTTGACCAACTTTGAAGTGGATTTTCCCATTATCCCCATAAGCAAACTGTTGACCCTTCATGTGCTTGCTAACCCTAGTTACTGCATCTTTATCATTAGTAGACCTTTCATATGAATTGTCCTCATGGTTAGGGGTGAGCGGTTCTGGGCGCCCTTCATTTTTTGGGGGAACCGGAACCGCACAGTGCAGGTTCTTCAATT